TGGGTGGGGACTCAGCCTCATTTTCCCAGCTGAGGATGCTCCGATGCCCCAGCACAGGGAAAGTGCCACTCTCGTGTCCCACCCGTGCCACCCCCGTGCCACCCCGGTGTCCTACCCGTGCCRTAGTGCTCCAGCCCCGTGGGCACCTCCTGCGTGGCAGACTCGTCCCAGAGCGGGCAGCATGGCCGGGACTGGCAGCAGGAGCCCTGGAAGCCACAGGACACCCAGGGATCCTCACAGGGAGCGGGCACTCCAGGTTTCTGGAAGGAGCAGAGGGGAATGGTAAGGGAAGCGTGACCCCAAAATGTGCAAGGGGCAGCGAGCCCCGCCCTGGCAGATCTGAACACTTTTGATGTCAATGAGGCCAAAAAGGGCCTTTTTGGAACAAATATGGAGAGAAAAGTGAAGGCACAGAGTGAGGCTGAGCTCGGTGGGATTTCTGTGAGAGGAGGTTCCCATGGGGACACCCTCAGTGCCACTCCCCACAACTGGGACGGTCATTTTTTAGTTATTTTGTTATTTTTTGGCAGCAGGAGGCCCTAAACCCCCCACAAAATCTAGAGGGGGAGGTCACAAGGGGGTGGAGAAGCCCCTGCYCAGGCATTATAGGGCAGCCTGGGCCCAGCTGTTGTATTTATGTTTCTCTTCCTATTTATAGGGATATTATTTGGGATTATTGCATTTCTATTTAGGTTATTTATATTTATAGCAGTTTTATTTTTGTGTCCACAGMCGTGTGTGTACATGTGGCCTGCACWCATGGGTATATGAGATMTACACYTCCTATAAAATGCCCACAYGTACATATAATTCACATAATGTCATGCATTATTATCCMTATATTACATAATTTTCTGTGTTATTACAGAAAATTTACACAATACTTTATATATGTACTGACTGCATGGGTGACAAAAGCGTTTATACACCCACACCTCTGCAATCTGGCTTATAACTCAATATTAATTACACTTTTATTTTTATTGTAGATGAAGCTAGATTTATACCTTATAAACATATAAATAAAATATATTTATTATCTATTATATGAAATATATAAATATAGTACAATATATTTATCAAATACAAATATAATAAAATATATTTATTAAATATATATATAAGGATATAGAGGTATTTAGAAAGACAGATTTGTTCAGGTTGTAAAAAGAGCTTTAATAAATGATCCCAGGATATAATTTTTATTTTATTTTGTACACACCTATTTTAAACACACATATTAGTGTATATACACACTAATATACACATATTAGTGTATATTAGTGTGTATATATATGTACACAGCACATATATGTATGTGTTTATATACACTGTAGATATATTTACTATGTACACCGTCCTGTATATACATAATTCCATATAATTTATATTTATTATTATATATTTATATATTTATATATTTGTGTATTTATGTATTTATATATTTATATGTATATATGTATTTATTATATATGTATATATTATACATTCTATATTATATTTTATGTTATATATATCATATTTTATAATTATTGCATTGAAGAGTTTATCTGCCTGTGAGAGGACAATACCGTSCACATACCTATAAATAAATGCAGGATGTTTGAATTTTTTATCATTGTTACCATTTCCCTGTGGGGGGAATAGATTTCCTTGATGGCCAATCAATATTTGAAAGCCAAATGCTTGCTCGGAACCATTTAAAGGAAAGCTGTGGRGCTGCCTTGGGAATATTTCATGGCTCAGGGTGGGCTTTTCTCTCCAATTTGGGGAAAATGTTGGTTTTAGCACACGTTCTGTGCAGCCTGGGGTGTCAGCCCACAGTTTATGTGAGCTCTAAGGSTCAGCAGTTCTTTGGACAAATGGCTAGAAATGTCATTTCTCTGTCATAGGTCTGATTTCTGTAAATATATGTWTTATTTCTTTAGATGTAGGCCTGATTTCTTTAAATATGGATCTGATTTTTCTAAATATGGATCTGATTTTCCTAAARATCAATCTGATTTTCCTAAAAAAGGCTCCAATCCCTGCCCAGCCTGTCCCAGGATCACACTCCAACCTTTATCCCACACAACCATAAACCACACAGACAGAACAGAGCGGAGCACGGTAGCGGTCCCAAAACTCCCGAAACCCTTCCCCAAACGCTGCCCTGCTCCGTGCCACACTGGAGCGATCCCAAAACTCCAGAAACCTTTTCCCAAATGTTGCCCTGCTCCATGCTGCACCGGAGCGATCCCAGAACTCCAGAAACCCTTCCCCAAACGCTGCCCTGCTCCGTGCCGCACTGGAGCGATCCCAAAACTCGTGAAACCCTTTCCCTACACTGCCCTGCTCCATGCTACACCGGAGCAGTCCCAAAACTCCAGAAACCCTTCCCCAAACACTGCCCTGCTCCGTGCCGCACCGGAGCGATCCCAAAACTCCAGAAACCCTTTTCCCAAACTCTGCCCTGCTCCGTGGTGATCCCATTGATCCCAGGTGAAGGTCAGCAGGGGGAGCAGGCACCGGGACAATGGCTCTCCTGACAATGCTCGTCCCAACAGCAGCGCAGGAAATCCGAGCACGATCCCATTTCCAGGGGAGATTTGCAGGCTCGAGAGGCTCTGGGTAAATGCTTGGAATTCAGGAGCTGCTCTGAACTGCCTCAMACCTTGGATACCCCGGGGATGGCACCGAGCTGGGGCAGGGCTGGAGAAACCCCAGGAACCTGAGAGAAAACTGCTGGGGTGGGAAACCAACCCTAATTCCTGGCTTTTATAGAAGCATGGGGTGGCTGGGGTTGGAGTGGACCTTAAAGATCATCTCCTTCACACCCCTGCCATGGGCAGAGACATCTCCCACCATCCCAGAGTGCTCCCAGCCCCAATGTCCAGCCTGGCCTTGGACACTCCAGGGATCCAGGGGCAGCCACAGCTTCTCTGGGTACCCTGTGCCAGGGCCTGCCCACCTTCACAAGGGAGAATTTCTTCCTAAAATCTGATCTAACCCCACTCTCCCTGAGCACAAGTCTATTCCCTTGGTCCTGTCCATTCCTTACCATCATTCCAGGCCGAGCCAAAGGATAAGGAGCTGCACTGCCGATGGCTGTGTCCATGTAATAACTCATCATCCTGGAGGTGCCTGCAGGAATGGAGAAGGGCATTAGATCCCAGGACACAAAACCTGACAGCGCCAGCTCAATCCGKGCTTTCCACAGCTGTGTAAAGCTCAGGGCACAATGTCACCATAACGAGTCTGAGCTGGGAAAGTGAAGAGGAAAACTATCTGGATTAATAGGAAATATTGTGATTCCAGGGGTTGTATCAACAGTGCAGCACCAAACCWGGGGAGGGTCTGACAATGGGGAATGAATTATCACCTGGAAGCTGAGGGAGCTGCTCTGAGGGAAGATGAGATCATGTTTCCTTTGCTGTAGAATTGGTGGGAAATTGTTGCCAGGTTTTTTTTTTTCCTTTTGAGAGGGGAAAAAAAAAAGGCATTTTGTTGAGATCAACACCTTTCCTGTGAAAGCTTTGTCAGGCCCAGTCTGTCTCACAAAGACCTTTGCTGTTTCCAGGACACGTCCTCTGTTTTCACACATGAGCTTTGGTTTCCCTGGCCAAATCCCTCCCTCGCAGTCCCACATGGAGCTGCTCAYGTGGGATTTACTGTCCTGAGCAAGTCCTTCTGCCAGAGCAGTCATAGCTGGCATTTCTGACCCTCATGAGCCCACTGGGGTGGCTGAGGTGGAGCAGCTGCAGCATGGCTCAGTTATCAGAGATGCAAATGTTTCTCCCTCTCTYCCTGCAGTGCCAATGGAAAGGCAGGGCTGATGTTCTGCCTATGTTTGGGGGATGTGACCCCAAAGTGCTGGGACGAAAGAGGGAATGGGGAGCAGCCTGGACTGGGCAGAATGGGAGCTGGAGCCATGGGAATGGCTGCTCCCAGCCTGGGGGTGCAGAGGAGCTGTTCCAACCTCCCGAGGACACGGCTCTGGATTCCTGCAGAGCCCTGCCCAAGTTATGCTGCAGCAAAATCCCAGAATCACCAGGTCCAGCCCCTCACCCAGTCATGTCCACACAGCCCCAAGTGCCGCTTCACACGTTTGTAAACACCTCCAGGGAAGGTGTCTGCACCATGCCCTGGGCAGCTGTGCCGGTGCTGACAATCCTTGGAGTGAAGAAATTTTCCCCACTATCCAACCTAAACCTCCCCAGTGCAACCTGAGGCTGTTTCCTTTACTCCCATCATTTGTTCCCTGGGAACAGAGCCTGACCCCACCCTGGGTGCACCCTTTTTTCAGRGAGTTGTAGGAGCTGAGAGGGTCCYCTCTGAGCCTCCTTTTTTCCCTCGGCCGCTCCTCACCAGACTCACTCTCTGTTTTATGCCCACAACCAGCACAACCCCATCACCTCCAGCCTCCACTTCTACCCCTGAACATCTCCTGGAGGCCCTGGGACCCTCTCCCAGCTTCTCCTCTGCTCCTTCCCCAGGGGTTTTGCTGCTGCTGGAGCTCTCTGCAGTTCTCCCCCGGCAGGGCAGGGCAGGGCAGGGTGGAGCTGCTCTGACCGTGCCTCACTCAGCGCCTCCACAAACAGGGACCCCCAGGGCATCTCCCCCGCGCCCCGTGAGTAATGACCCAACACAAAACACCTGCATGTGCACGGTATTAAATGATCATCATCATTTCCTGCTGCTTGTTACTAACTCTGCCTCTAACACCGGCAGGAGCTGGTTGGTTGGTTGTTGGGGTGGTTTTTTTTTTGTTTTTTTTTTTTTTCCGAACTTCTCTATTTTGATTCACAAGGGTGAAAACTACCACTATAACTACGAGCCTGTTTCTCTTTGTGCCGTACCCAAAACCACACCGAGAGCGAGTTGGCGAGGTTGAGCAGCGTTAACTAATCTCAGCATCAGTGCACGCCCTGCCAGCCCGCCCTGGTGAAACGCCTCGGCTACAACTCCCCATAGCTGGGGCGAGAYCTGAGCGGTCACKGAGTGAGTYGGGCTCCAAGGRACCTTAAAACTCATCCYGTTCATCCCCTGCCATGGGCAGGGACACCTCCCACAGGGTGCTTTGAGCCCTGTCCAAACTGGCCTTGAGCACKTCCAGGGTGGAGCATCCCTGGCTTGAAGGGCATCCCCTAATGCCAAGCAGGGTGCTCAATCCCAGCCGGGCCATCACACACAGGACCCCAACCTGCAGCATATGGAAACTGTGGCAGGTACACACAGGCTGACCTTGCCCCAAAGCAAAGGTTGGTGCTGCCAAACAAAGCGAGACAGGATGGAACGGAGCCAGAGCGAGCTCGGGGCTCTTCACCTGCCCCGGTGCCACCCACGGGTCCCAGAGTGAGGAGTCCCAGCCCCAAAGAGCAGACAGAGCAGTGCCAGAGAGCAGCTCTGCTCTCTGYTTTGCAGCTCGTGCAGCAGCAGCTGGTGCTGGGTTTGGGGTTTTTTTCCCCCCTTTGATCGAGGCTCCCCGCTCGCAGCAGCTCTCGAGAACCGTGCTCATGCCTCGCTGGGTGTTGTTTGCATCTTTCTCAGGCTGAACCTTCCAGCAAGGCAGCACTCACTGCTGCTCGGGGCCGCCTGTGTGCAGTGACAGCAGCAGCACCAAACCCGTCCTGACACCCTGGACAGGCTTCGTGCAACGAGGAAWAACAACAGGATTTAACCAGAGCTGCACAGCAGCCCCAGCAGAGGTGAATTACCATCTCTAGACAGCAGCTCCAAGACATTCAGAGCCCGTTTGCTCTCTGGTTTCTCTTCCCCTTCAAGCTGTGCTGTTAAAAAGCACGAGACAAGTGCAGAAACACAACACAAAACTCTGCAACAATCTGCATCCCCATCTCTGTGGGTTCCAGAGAAGCCCTGCTTAAAGGCAAATTCAACCAGCACCCAGCCTGCTGCAGGTTTTGAGGGTGCTGATGGTTAAAGGACWGACAAATACAGGGTTTAGGGTGTGAAAAGGGAATGTTAGGCTGGAATCCCTGAAGAGGAATCCCAGAAGGGACCATTCCAGCCCAGTAGGTGCCATGAAGGCTGAGAAAGGCAGGTGAGCAGGTGCTGTGCATGGAATAAAGGCACTCTGGAAGGGCAGGCACAGACAGCAGAGACGGAGCTCTGCTCTGCTGTGTCCAGGCTAATTTTAACAGAACTTCCACCACTTCCCAGAGGAAACGACTTCACAGCCCAGAACATCTCTCACTGTCAGCAAGTTTCCCTGATGGCTGAGTGATATTTTGCTTCTCTTCAGCTTCCTCTAACGAGAGCCCAAAGAGCTGCTCTCCTCCCTTGGATGCTGTCAGGGAGCTCAGCTGAGCTCCTTTCCCTGCTGGAGCTCTCCAGGTCAGGTACCTTGGCTGATTTGGAGGAAATCACTGCAGATTTACATCAAGATAATCCAGAGCCACGGCTTGCTGGGAGCTGCTAATAAATAGAGGGGAATCAGAACCATTTGGTAAAATCCTTAGTGACTTCACAGCTTGACTTCAGTCTTATTGTTTGCTCTCATTATTCCTGTCCTATTGTGAAAACATGTGTGAGAGAATCAGCATTTATTTTGGGACTTGATCAAGTACCAGCCAAAGCTATTACACTCTTGGGTCATTTCTAAACTAAATTAAAATTTTAATTTCATTTCAACATCCATCCCTCCTCTTTTACAAGGTTGGGTGGTTTTTTAAAAAAATTAAGTGAATTACCAAGCTTGGTTTAAAAAGGAAAAAGCTGTTTGTACTCATGATTAACACACACACACACCCCTTGCATAAGTTGAGGAGTTAAAAATTAATATTAAAGTAAACCTTGTCTGTTGAATATATGAAGGCAGGTTACAGTATTTTCATGTAATGTTGTAGTTTTATGCTGTTTTAAGGATAGGAAGAGGGAAGTGGAGCRATGCACAGTGACTTCCCAGTTGGTTTCCATCCCTGTTTCCCAGTTTAATGCCCCATGCACGCAGCTGTAAAATGCTGAGGCTCACACTGTTCCCCAGTTCCTGAACTGCAGGATCGCACTCAGCTCCTTCCCACAGCCCTGAGTCCCAGCTGGGCATCCAGGGGAGGTGTCACTGCAGGATGGCACACCCGGGACAGCCACCAAACACCATCCAGGTGCTTTCCTCAGTCCCAACAAACCRAGACAATTCCTTTTCCGTGGGGTCAGACGGGAAGCCTGGAGAAAGGGGCAGTAGCAGCAACCCCATAAGAATATTTCTGGCTTCAAGAAGGTGAATTAAAGCTTTAAAAACCTGCAGCAGCCCCTGGCACAGCCCCACCTTGCCCGGCTGCCCCAGAACTGCTYGGTGACAACCACTTCATTTTAATTTTTGCATCAAGCAATAATTTATCATCTTTGAGGGGGTGGGGCAAAGAGCCGCTGGAAATGACATCCTTCCGCCAGGCTTTAACCCTTGCGAGCCGGGCACTTTCCAGGCYCCTGCCAGCCCCGTTCCCAGGGGAGGGAGTGGTTGTTGATGTGTTGGCATCTCAGAGCCCTCCTCCCGTCCATCAGCTCGGACAGCGGGAGCATCCCTGAGGCAACAACAGGAGCGTGTTTCCTTTACTCACAGCCAAGGGTTTTCGCAGATTGGCCACCGCTAAACCCCACATTTCTTACGATTTTAAAACTTGGGAGTGGTCACACCCCATTTCCTGGAGGAAAGCGGGCGGGGCAGCAAGGGGTGCTGTGGTAAACAATGGAGTGGCGGCGGTCAATAGAGCGGCAGTGGTCCTTCTGCAGCCGCTGAAAACGCTCCAGGAGGGTAAAGGGCAGGGACAGGGTGACCCAGGGAAAGCGAGGGGGCCCCCGGCACGGTCTGGGCGCTGATTGCCGGGGATTTGCGCCGGTGGGGAGCTGGGTGGGAAGGATGGGGCAGGGACTGCCTGGCAGCGCATCCCACCCAGGCTGCTCCGGCGCCGGCGAGGGGCTCTTCCCTGCCCCGGGGCCTGCCATATCTCAGGGAGGTAGGATGGGATCTCGAGAGCCTTCCCGTTTGGCTGGACAAAGTCTGGCTGGGCTGGGTGACAGTGGCCAGGGTGGGTAAAGTTTGGCCCAGCCTCACAGAGCCCTCTCTCTCTTGTCCCAAACTGCACTTTGTTCAGATTGCTCCTGTTCTCTGCTYATTCATCGACGGCTCAGCTGCCAGTGAAGCTGAAAATGCCCCTCTCAGCAGATGCACAGCGAGCTGGCAGCACAGGTTGGGCAGCAGAGGGTTCAGGTGGGACACCAGAGCTGCTGCCATTAAATCACCCAGCTCTGGCCACTGYAGGGGGATGTGCAGGGAGGGTTAATCAGATCAGCTGTTGTTTCACTCATGAATTCACCTCCACGGAGCAGCAGACTCACAGCACAATGCCATGGGCCAGGCCTTGGGCGGGGCAGAGGAAAGGGGGAACGAACGAGATCACAGTCCCTCTGTCCCAGAGGGATCCCAGCCCCAGGGCGGGGCCTGACCCCTCACACCTTCCCCATCTGGCAGAGCCCAGCCTGTCCCGTGGGCAGGGATGAACAGCCCAGCTGGGAGTCCCTGAGGTGCCCCTGGATCCCTGCAGGACCCTCAGCAGGACACCTGGACCAGCCTGCCCSAATCCGCTCCGAAAATCCCATCAGCCCCATTCCAAAGAGGGCTCCAAAGCACGCAAGGTGAGGTTACTTTGTGTTCCTTTGTCCCTCAACCTGCCCAGACAGGAGAGAGTTTCCTCATCTGGAGGGGCACACGGCCCCCCCAAAGCTCTGTGGTGAAGGGACACACTCACATCCCAATGCTGGGGTACCCAAAGTGCTTCAGCTTCCACACACCCCCAGCCCCAGGCCAAGCAGAAAACGCAAAAAAAATCAGGAAAATGATTTCTGTGGCAGGTGGGGGAAAGCTGCCGAGCCAGCGGAACGGGAGGCAGTGGGAAGGGGCTGCAGCAGGAAGGGGCCCGGCCCCAGCCCGCAGCCCCCAGGGATAGCAGGTGACAGCGCAGGGTGGCGAGCTGCTGGTGGCTCTGACACCGRGAGAGCAGCCACAGGCACAGCAGTGATTTACGGGCTGATGGGAAGGGGGAAGGCCTTGGCCGGGCTCCGCAGGGACTCAATTCCCTCTGCCGGGGCTGGGGGAGCAGGACTGCGCTCTTCCCGAGGGATGGCAGCGGCTCGGCAGCACATCCCTGCAGCTGTCACAATCCCCAAGGCAGATGCGGGCACCTGCAGCACCCTTTGGGGGTGGCACTGCCGTGGAAAACACCTGGAGGGATCGCAGAATCCTTCCAAGCACCCCTGCAGAGCAGGAATCAGCCCTGGGTCTGCCTGCCCGACCCCGGGCACTTTGGATCTCCCCTCCCTCACAGCAAAACCAAACCAAATTACACCAAAACCAAATTACAATTCGAAACAGCGAAGGAACTGCAAATTTAATTCGCTGTACTAATGCCAGTGCACAGCCTTCCACCTACATGAGTAAAATAATTATGTTCTCCTAAATACCCATACAAAATTGATGTACCAAATCGATACATATGTTAAAAAGGAATTTTAAAGGGGAGCATCATCTCAGACATTTCTATAAGATCCTACAGTAGCAAATGCACWAATCTTTTACTGGGTGAAACTGGAAATGGGGAGAGGAAAAGTAAATCACCAACAACCCAAATCTGAGCTGCCCTGAAAATGTTCACAGGTACCTCCAACCCCCGAAAGAGTTCCAAGAGCCTCTCCCCCCTCCACTTACGGCTCAGCTGAAGGACCCGGGGCAAAGCTTTCTATCCTCCACGGCTTCCCACACTTGTGTCCGCTCTCCTCCTCACTACCTGGTGCTCTCCTCTGCGCCGGAGCCGGCGAGGATGGAAATACCATAGTGTTCGAGGCAGGGCTGCCTATTGAAAGGGAGGGGGAGTGGTCAGCCCCGCGCCCAGGGCGCTGCGAGCGGCCACTCGCACGCCGCCAGCCAGGAAAGAGCCACCGCTGGCCGCTGTCACGGCGGYGGGGAAACAAAACAGCCCTGGCTGGGGGTGGGGATGGGGGACAGCGTCCTGCCAGYCCCGCTCTGGGGCGGCCTTCGGCTCCCGTGCCCTGTAAATCCATCCGAGACTCCAGCCTGCCCGGCGAGTGCTGCTGCARCCCGCAAAGTCCCGTGAGCGGAGTTTATCCCTGCCCAGGGACGCTCTCACGGCTGGCAGAGCGTGGCCATGTGAGCCCTGAGCCCCAAATCTCAGCCCCGCTGCTGCCTCTGCCGGGAGGGGCCTCGAGGCAGAAGCGGCTCCTTCTTCCGCCGGCACCTCTGCTGTCCCTGCAGTCCCCGCTCCGTGTGCCAGAGCACCTCTGCCATTCCTGCCCTGCTCCGTGTGCCAGGGCACCTCTGCCATCCCTGCCCTGCTCCGTGTGCCAGGGCACCTCTGCCATCCCTGCCCCGCTCCATGTGCCAGGGCACCTCTGCCATCCCTGCCCTGCTCCGTGTGCCAGGGCTCCTCTGCCATCCCTGCTGTCCCCGCTCCATGTGCCAGGGCACCGCGGCTCCGGGGCTCTCTGCTCCTCCCCTGCCTTTCCCAGCCTGGTGCAAGCCCTGCAGACCGTTGGTGTGCGCCTCTGGAACCCAAACAGCGCCCTGGTAGCTGCTGCTTGCTTTTGAAATCCTAAAAGCTCCTAATCCTAAAAGGAATCCCCTCTTAGGTGAGGAACTGGGGAAGGGGATTTGCTCGGGCAGTGCTGGGAGCCGCTGGAGCAGCTCTGGCAGAGGGGGATGGCCCCAATCCGCATCTTCCAGTGTCAATACAGGTGCTGAAGGTGTCGGGGGCCTCTCCGGGCGGGAGAAGGGCAGGAGAGCGCATTCCCGGCGGGGAGGACAAGGGAGCGGGGCACAGACACAGCCTGCGCTGGTCCACTCCATTAACGCCCCCGTGAATTATCCAGAGGCTCTGGCAGAGCAGGATCTGGGGCTCCCCTCTCCACACGCCCCATCTTCCCCTGCCCAGCCCATCTGACCCTCGCAGCCCGCCCGGGGACCTCCGAGGGCCAGCGGCACCCCCAAATCCCGGCTGCAGGAGGAGCGTCCCTCCCGCCTGTCCCGCTCTCGCTCCCCAGGCAGCAGCGCTGCCTTTTCCTCCAGGAGAGGGCTCCAGGMTGGAGATCCTGCCCGGCTCCAGCACGGAGCCCATCCCGCTGTCCCTGTGAGCAGCCCCGGCTCAGCCCTGCCCGGGGCACCGAGGGTTCTACGTGCGCTGCTCATTTGGGACATTTGGGGCAAAAAGGGTGGCGGGGAGCGGCTGTTGGGCCTTTTCCTGGAGATCCTGACAGCAAACTGCAATGTAAGAGCAGAAAAGAGCACCCAGCCCTCTGTGCCTCGCTGCTCTGACACCACAACGCTCTGCTTGCCCAGTATCTGCAGGAGGGRCTGATTTCCATGGAATTGTGCAGCACCCTGACGGTAAAAACCAAAGCAGCCTGTACATGTGAGCACTGTCACTGCTGAAGGACCGGTGTGGGGAGAGCAGTAATTCCTGGAGGCTCCCTTTCCCAACCCTGGGTGTTTCTGGTGCTCTCAGCACAGGGAATGTTTGCAAAGCGCAGACCAAAGCTGTGTTTGCTCCCACGTGGATAATTTCTGCCTGCACAGGGCTCCTGTGGCTTCTGCTGCTGCCAGATGTTCCCCAGAGAACACAAATGTGCCAAATGASTGCTCACAGGCACCAAGGTTCCTCCTGTGCCCCTCTCCCAGCCCAGAATGTTGCTAAAATACACAAAATGACAAATCACAAAAAAACCCCCATTATTTATGCACCTAAAACTATTCCCAGGTCCTTCAGGAGCTCCCAAATGATGAATGAAGCTCTCCTTTAGCCCTGAATTTAGAAACACACAGCTCCAGGTGGCCCAAATCCACGTTACCTGCTGCACTCRCCAGGCACGGCTCCCTCTTGTAGCTGCTTTAACACAGGAAATGATTTACAGGGCTCCATCTCCCCAGGAAGGGTTCCAGCCTCCTGGGCTTTGCTACAAAGGCTCTGTCACATCTGAGCTCCAAAGGGGCGGAATGTGTTCAGCAATCAATTTTTATCCGGGCGACTGTGGCCGGGATAACCCCGCTGGCAGCTGCGAGCAAGATGTCCTTCCTCAGGGGGAGTGGGGTGCTCAGCCCAGGAGGGCGGTGGGATGCAGCAATTCAGACATCCACAGCTCCCTGGAGTGGCTGTGCAGCCAGCTGGGAGACTGGGAAATGGAATCACAGAATCCTGGAATGCTTTGGGGGGGAAGGAACCGTAAAGATCGCCAGGTTCCACAGAGTTGCCCGGTTTTGGGGTCACTGCTGTCACATCAGTCACCCAAACCAGCTGGCAACAAGAAGTTGGGTTAAATTTCGGGCAGCTCATGGAATTGATCAGAAAGTCATTGGACTTTCCATGGCAGCTGCTTTGGGTTTGCTCTGGGCTCATAAAAAATAAAACGATCCCTTAATGTTTTCCTGCAGCAGTTATTGATGTTTGCACCGAACTGGAGATGTCTGGGGGATGTTTTGTGGGCTCTGCACTCAAAGGCTGCTTGAATTTGGGGGCACTCAAAGCTGGAAGGTGCAGGTCATTGGTGTCAGCAGAACTGCCCATTTCCCAAAAACCTGASAAATCCTCATCCCCATGGATGGGAGCTGAGAGCAGCACCACTGGGAGGGTGGCTGCCCCTGGAGATGGTGCTGGTTTGTCTCTGGAGCTGGGAGTGAGTTTGGATCCTCTGGGCAGAGCTCAGCCCAGTCCTGAGTGTCACCAACTGTCACCTTCCCCAGCTCCAGTCCCTTGCAGCCCCCAGGYTCCTTTCCAGGGAGAGATCCCTGTGCCTGTGGATCATAAAATACTAAAGGGGAAAAGCTGCAGGTAAGGAGCTTCCAGAGCCCTTCATGGATCATCATTTCCATCTGATTCTGGGAAAACTCAGCAGCAACCAATAAAATGATCCTGAGAATGTGAATCTCTTTGCTTTTGTGTTACCCCATGGCAAGGGAGTAAAATGGGTAATCCTGAGCTGGAGGAACRTTCCCAGTGTTTCCCTGGGGAAGGTGACACAGCAGGACCAGGAGGTGCCTGGTAATCCGTGTCAGGTTTGCCCAGGCTGCCCCAGCATCCCCTCTGCCCCTCTCCCCCACAGCCTGTGCCCAGATGTGCAGCGGTCCCASAGCTGGGCACATCTGGGATCCAGGTGCTGACACTCTCCAGAGCTGCCTGGCCCTGAAAACCRATGGGGACAGCCCCAGAGCTCATCCCTCTGGAACAACCCCAATGAATTCCCTCTGTACGGAGCCCAAGGATGCTGAATGTCCAAGCTGAGGGGAAATTCCATGCCCTCCCAAGCAGCAGAAGATTTTTCTACCCGTGGGTCAGACAGGAGCTCAGATCTCGGCGATGCTTTGCTTTGGATGAGAAGGTGCAGGATATGCACTGAAACAGGACAGATTTGGGATGTACAGTCACTGCCCCACAAGTGACTTTTRTGATGTTGTGGTAGGTTGGGAACTGCTGCTCGTGGATTTCTTTCACATCTACCAAGAACATTGTGACAAACTGGCCCATCCACGGTTTATCCCACTTTCCTAAGGGAAATCAGATCTGTGTGAAAACGAGCTTTAAACAGGGAACATCTGAAGGTGTCAGGATGGGATGAGAAGTGAGAGAATTTTTTTCAGGAAAAATTCCATTTTCATCTCTATACACATGGATAAAAAGACATGGATATGTATGGAGGTGAAAAAAAMCCCMAAAATAACACCAATAACATTTTCTTCCCTGTGAGGGTGGGCAGGCCCTGGCACAGGGTGCCCAGAGAAGCTGTGGCTGTTCCATCCCTGGCAGTGCCCAAGGCCAGGCTGGACAGGGCTRGAGCAGCYTGGGACAGTGGAAGGTGTCCTTGCCCATGGCAGGGGTGGCACTGGATGGGATTTTGGTCCCCTTCCTGCCCAGTCCATTCTGGGATTCTGTCACGTTTTCTCTCTGCAAGAGGAAGTGAGAAATTTCCACTCAGCTCTAACCCTGCTGTTGAGCAACATCTCYGGGGAAGCTCCAACCAGAACATCTCCAGCCTGAGCCTTTGAGAGCAAAAGTTGCAGATTTTGCGTTGTTGGCACAAAACCTGATCATTTTCTAGAGGCCAATGTGAATATTTTCATTGCAAACTCCCCTGAGGTGCCTGCCCACTCACACCATTGACAAAGCCCTGAGAGCTGCGACAGCAAGGTAAATTAACAATCATTTACGGCAATATTAATTGGGAAAGCAGTCCTTACTCACAAGCTCTCCCACTGCAAGAAGAATTCGGCCTTTTGGTTGGAAGAAGGATTTTTGATTACACTGATGCACTCAGACAAAAAAAACAGCTAGGATTTCATCACACACACCCTCTTCAAACTGTAAATYAAAATCCTCAACCAGAATCATTTAATCGAGGACTATAAAGCCAGATTTCAGAAGTGCTCTTTTCYCAGGCAGGCACATAAATAGAGATCAGATTTATAAAAATGCTATCAGCCAACAATTCCTGCTCGAACACATCTGGCCAGATTTCAAAACCAATTCAGCAGCCAGTTAATCACTTGCTCTTTATTA